TGAGAGACACATCCAGCTGCGTTGGGTTCCACTGCAGCAGGATAGGTGACAAGTGGTGTGCGAGCAGCTCTGATAACCAGACCTTCATTTCCTCTTGAGCTCAGGCACTAAACTGCAAGAAATGGGGCTGTAGAAGAGAAACCCCACAAGAAATGGGAAAGTGTAAGGGAGAATTTGTTGAAGAAGGCAAATGGGAAGAGTGCTATGCTTGTGCAGGTCTCATCTACAGATATATATTAATTAGTGGCAGGTGATAATTGCTTCGGATTGTTCTTGCTCTGTTTGTTCTTGAGTCATGAATCAGTATGTGAGAGTTGTGCCTGCTGCAGAGGATGGGACTCTCAGATCGAACCAGTTTAATGCAGGAATTGTTTGGGTTGGTTTATTGCCACGTTGATTTTTCATTCCCGGGTGGTAAGTTCCCATGAAAGCACTGCTGTCTTCCCTTTGATCGAGCTAATCTTTCTTTATGAATTGTGCATCTCCCATCAGACCACACTGAGCTGGGAAGGTCTGCTACTGAGCCAACACACAGCATGGTCCAGAGGAGGGCCACGAAGATGAGCGGAGGGCTGGAGCACCTCTCCTATGAGGAAAGGTTGAGGGAATGGGGCTTGTTGAGCTTAGAAAAGAGAAGATCCAGGGAGACCTCGCTGTGGTCTTGTGTATACTTGAATGGAGCATATAAATAGGAGGGGGAACGGCTGTTTATGAGGGTGGATAGTGATAGGCCAAGGGGGAATGGTTTTAAACCGAGACGGGGAGGTTTAGGTTGGATATGAGGAGGGAGTTTTTCATTCAAAGGGTGGTGAAGCACTGGAACAGGCTGCCCAAGGAGGCTGTGGATGCCCCATCCCTGCAGGCATTCAAGGCCAGGCTGGATGTGGCTCTGGGCAGCCTGGGCTGCTGGTTGGTGACCTGCACACAGCAGGGGGTTGGAACTGGATGAGCACTGTGCTCCTTTGCAACCCAGGCCATTCTTTGGTTTTGTGATTCTATGAGTGCTTTGCTGTGGTGCAGCCATCTCACGTTGCCCAGAAATGCACCTGATGTCAGGGGAGGGGGGGAAGATGGTGCAGCTCTTTGGGGTATGGAGCTGCCTGGGGGTGAGTTTGTGTAGGGAAATGGGGAAATGCAAAAATGCAGGTGTTGCTTGGAGCTTGGGCCTCTTTATCCAGGGTCAAGAGGTTAATGGAAGCACAGCTCGAGTGAGGCGGTCTTACAAAAAAAAAAAAAAGAAAGAAAAAAGGAATTAAATATTTACTGGGTGAAAGAAATGCCAATTGGCAGATTAAATACGCAGCCCCTTTGTTATCATTCCAATAATTCCAGAACAAAAAAGTCAGAAGCCAAATGGGGAACCGAAGCTATGGTGCAAACCTCACAGCTGTGCAAAGCAGGAGGGGAGGCGTGCTGCCTGGGGCAGGGGGGGCAGCAGCCCTGAGAGCACTGCCATTGATTCTCCACATCCTTTTCCAGCTCAGGTGCCCTTTCTCCTCCCTGCCGTTGGATGTACTGAGGGCATCATGCTTGTGATGGGCTACGAGTTGAGGTAGAAGCTCTGTGCAGAGCTGGGATGGTTTGCACCAAGTCACAGCTGGGTCCCTTTGATGGCTTTTACAGGCTGCCGTGTGGGTTCGTGTCTTAATTTCCCTGACCCCCTGCCTGTAAAGTGGAGATGAGAGCTGTGCCTTTTTGTCACCCATTTCTTGGCTTAGGCTGTAAATTGTTTGGCACAGAAATCCATTTTCTTGGTGTGCACACAGAGCACCCAGTCACACAAGGCTAGTGCTCTCCGTGGGGCTTATTAAGATCTAAACTATTAGCAACAAACCTTTGTGTTAGCATGCAGAGACTGTTTGAGAGGGACAGATGAGCTTTGGATTTGGCTCCTGTACGCACAGTGAGAAGTGGCTTTCCCCAGCCCTGATAACATTGCTGTGCAATGGGAGCTACCCAAGGTTTGGCCAGTGACCACTGTCTCATTTCACTGCAGGACTGAGTTTTGAAGAGTGACGTGGAAACAACGCTCCAGTTTCGATGGACCCTTGATGTTCTGATGGCAGAACAACTCTTTCTCCCTCGAAAGCAGCATAACCTGAGTCCTAAGGGGCAGTGACCACTTGGAGGTACTTTGAATTGATGCTTGTGTGGCTCGTGCCCTCTCTGTTGAGGATGCAAATAGAGTGCTGGCATGCAGACCTCAAAAGGCAGATGTTTTTCTGCTAACACTTGAGCTGTTCGGGTCAGTGAGGCACTGGAGTGACACTACAACCCTCAGTAACAGAGGGCTTCATCTGACACCCCATTGCACTCCATAGCTTTTGTATGTTCTGCTTTCCCCTGGGACAAACTGTATTTTTACAGCCAGCTGAATGGCAGCTGATATGATCAGGAGCACTGGGAGCAACAATTCCTCAGGGCTGCAACTCACATGGGCTGCCGTGTTTGTTCTTCCCAGGGAGTGAAGCCCTTAACAAAAGCATGGACCATTCCGTACCTATTGCTCAATAGGACAACTTCTGCTCTCAGTTTACAAGTCTGAAAACAAAGTATATACGATACCATCAAACTGCTTCATTCCAAAGCCTGCTGCTCCTTCAAACGTCAAGGCTGTAACCTTCAGACTCTACTCTGAGCTCTGAACCTTTGCATTCCTGGGGATGCTGGTTGGACCTCGCTGTGCTTCAGGGCAGTGGGTGAGCTCATACCTCAGTCCTGAGAGAAACCCAGCAGAGGAGGGATGATGCCACCTGAAGTTCTGCGTGCTGCTGAAAGCTCTTTCTTAGAAAACTTTATTCCCCTTGTAGTCTGTTTCTGAATGGTAAATGTGCTCAGCTCACGTTTGCACGTTCTTCACACTTGAGGTCTCAGGGATTGGCCTTCTTTAATTAAATGAAGACGTGCTCAACTACTTGCTTGCAGGTGTGGGATCTTTAAACGTCACAAATTTCCAAATAAACCAGAAGAGTCAGGAAGGAAAAACAACAACAAATCTCAATACCTGTGAGCTGGTGATGAAGCACCGCCAGAGGCCTTTCCCTTGCTCCTGCTTTGACCCACTTCTCAGCGAGTTGCTCAACCTCTCAGGAGCAAATCTGCCAACCTTACTCTTCCTGCTGGACGAGAGGCCATTTCAGCACGGGTCAACAACAGAGAGCTGTGATTTCAGGGTCAGAAAAAGGCAATGCTCCCCATAAAACATGCTGAGTCCCATCCCAGCTGCCTTCTGTCCAGGTGGAATGCAAGAGGAGTTGTCCCAGAAGCATCAGGCGGTGGCATTGGGATCCATCTTCACCAAGCCTTGAAGACATCGGGGATGGGGACGGAGGTGAGCTGCTCCCCACAAGTATAGCCAGGTGGAGAAGGAGGAACTGTGCTGCACTCTGCTGTGAGCTCGGCCCTTCCTGGCCTCCTCTCCTTCCCACTTCTTATTTTCTGTTGTCAGCAGTTGGGTTTGTTTTGGCTTTCAGTGCCCACAGATTACACAGAGCGCTCTGCATGCTTTGCTGCAGCCATTTGTGCTTTGGTCATTCCTGAAAAGTCTCCCAGTGGACAGATTTCCTGGAAAGCACAGGGCACGAGTACACCTTGTTAATTTGCGTTAATTAACCGGTGAGGTTCTCATCTGCTGAGGTGATGCATGCTATAGCAAAAGCTCTGGAATAAACGACTTCATGTGGCCCTGGGGCCAGCATTGGTATTACTGGAGATTGAGCTCTATTCCCCAGCAAAAACAGTGAAAGTCTCCACTCGTTTCACAGCTGATGCCCAAGAGAAGCTTCACACTGGAGGGAAGAGGCAACAAATGGTGCAAAAGATCATCTGCCCCAGCCAGGGAGGTGTAAGGTCCCATCCCTGGGCATCCTACCTGTGGTTGGCTGTGAGGTGGTGGTGGTGTTTTATGATATATGCGATCAAAAAGTTGGTGTAGCTTCTGAGTATCCAGTGACTGAACGACAGGGCAGGATTCAGTGCTGTGCTCTGAGCCTTTGCACCTCCCTTGCCGGGCTGCAATGCCCCATTTCTTCAGACAACGCTTGAATTCTGACTAACTGAGCATCGACACGGCTGGCAAGCGAAACTGAAAGCAATGCTTTTCCCTTCATAAAAACATTGAGCCTCTCGGTTAATTTTATGAGCTTTTCTTCTTTTGTTTCAGATGTTGTCTTTCAGATGTTAGAAGGAACAAATTAGAATAATTGAGTCAGAATATTTTCACAATATTGAGATGTTTAGCTGGGAAAGTCCAGCTTTGCCTCACTGTAGCGACTCATAATTGGAACAGTATGATCCGATTTGTTTCATTTTTCTCTGATGTTATCAGATAAAACAGAAAATATTAGGCAAGTACTGGGGAACCTTAAGGACCTCCGGCACGGTGCAGGTTTGTGCCCTGTGCTGAGGCAGTGACTTCAAAAGGCAGAGAAAATTCATTCCATTCCAAGTGTAGGAAGTTCAGACTTCAGTCTGATTCCAGCAAATTGTGCTTCTTCTCGTCGGGAGTTTTGGTGGAGATAAATGGGAAAATGGGGTGTTGGAAGGAGAGCCAAATTTTCACCTCTTGTCGCTGCTCGAGGTTTTGGCCAGGAGGGGGGAGGAAGACAGGCGTGGAAAACGTGATCTATGGCTGAGTGTTTCCCATAGCCTTCATGTCTGCCATTGGCAGCCCTGTCCTGAAAGCTCTGAATTTATTCACCTGGCTTGGCACGCTGCTGGGCGATGCACTTAAACTCCAAGGGACCCAGGCTGTGTGCTCTCAGCGCTGCGATTGTAAGGGGATAAATGATTATAACAGTTTAATGTGTAATCCAACCCGCGCGGTATGAAAATTCGACCCTTCTGTAAACATGAAGGAGACTTAAAATTCTTTCTTTGGAAATCACCTGGCCTGCTCTAGTCTGGAGGAAAAAAAAAAGCAACAAAACCACAACGGACTTCTTCATATTTGGTGTGTAATGTTTGGCTTTAGGCGCAGAAGTGGACATAATCCAACGAGGAATGAGGGCATCTGCGTGCTGGTTGAGGTCAGGTATTTGTATTGGACGTGGAACTCTACAGTGACCCAAATGCGTGGAGTTTCGAAGAAAAAAATCAAGAGTTTTAGTGAATGCAGATGTCATTTCCACTTGTGAGAGCATGTTTTGCCTTTTCTTGTGTTCTTGCCATGAAGTCTGATGTACTGCAGAGCACAGGGAGACAGAAGGGGGAGAATCCCACAATTGGTGCTGCTCTGCTCCGTGTGAATCCTGCTGTTTTGGGTGAGGGTTCCTGAGGGCTGAGTTGCTCTCATGGCCAACGTTCAGCACAGATCTGTGCCTAGCTCAGGGCACGTGGAAGTGAAATAGTGTGGGATATAAGCTGTATAAGCAGTGAGTGCAAAACCGATGACTGGTAAGCGAAAGAGAAATGATGGAGAGGATCAACTGGAAACTCAAGTGCAGCTGTGGGTATTTCATGAGAACCATGGGGTACAGTGAGGGCTGGTTTCTGCACCTGCATTTCATTCAGTAGAACATTGAACAGTGAGAACTTCGCTCACTGGAAGATAAGGCTGGTGGAGGGACTAAGGAAAGTTCCTCCGTTTCCAGGGAGCAGACAGCACTAATGAAACACATTTTGTGCATCTGGAATGGAAGGAAGCATCCCATAATTCTGCACTCAGAATTACGTAGCACTGATGTTTAGACAGCTGTCAGCGCTGTGTCTTACATGGCAACGTCTGGATTGAGCATTTCTCCTTCAACCTGCCATCGGGTGCTGCTGGCGTGTTGCTCCCACGGCTCGTGCTGATGTGTTTGGACATCGCTGTGCTTCCAGATGTCCATTTTGATGAGGGTTGGATGAAGGGTGTGGGTGAGGGCCGGCAGGTGGCAGCTTCGCCCAGCGGATGGGTGACAGAGGGGACACAGCGTGTGCCACTATCGGCTGTGGCAGTGGGATTCTCCTTTCTCACCCAAACACAGGTCTTGCAGGGTGCAGGAAGAATTCCAGCTGCCAATCCCAGAGCACCATTTCGCTTTAGAACAGACCCTGCTTGTTGCTCCAGTGGCAGCCACCACAGAGACATAGAATGGCTTGAGTTGGAAGGGGCCACTCAGATCATAGAATCACAGGATGGTTTGAGTTGGAAGGGACCTTTAACATCACCTAGTGCCAGCCTGCTACAGGCTGGTTCCAACCAGAAAGTGCCATTTCTTCTGTTCCTGCTGACCACAGTCGGCGTTCATCCTTCCCTCCCAGCGCAGAGCTGTCAGCAGTATGCATGTCTTCATGGCAGACAACGCTGCTTCCACTTTACCAAGCTTTTAATTCTGCCTTTTAGTCCAGGTGCTGTTTTGGTTGGGTGGTTTATCTTTTCTTTTGAGTTTGTTTTTGGTTTTCCCATTCTTTCTGATCAGAAGCAGCACAGATTCTCCCTCTGAACCCCACAGTGCTGCTTTGCAAACTGACCCCCAGCGTGGCCTGACCAGGAACCAGAGCTGGGCATGTGTTTAGTTTTTTTTTTCCTTAATGTGGATATAAAATCAGTTTGTAAAGCTTGCAGCCTCTCTTAAGCACGAGGGCCAAAGGACGATGTAACCCATCTCCTTGTCTAAACTGGGTTCAGTGCTCACGGAGTGGGGTCAATGTTTCCAGCCTGAGCCATTCTATGATTCTATCCCAACGCCCATCGGTGTCTCTGGAGGCAGGTGGCACAGCTCCATCTGTGCTTTGATGATGAGAACAGGCTGATAAGTGCTGCTTTCAGTTAGTCAAGTGGAGACAGGCTTGAAAGGCCTTCTACAAAACCAGCAGCCATCAAAGAAGAGGGGGAAATTTTGCCAATGAATTATTAACTCGATTATTAAAGGTGTAATTAAGCCCTGATGGGAGCTCCCAAGGGAAACAGCGTAGCCAAAGGCTGAATAAGATGGAAAAAAGTCCTGTTCAAGAGCCCAGTATGCAACTGAGCCAGATGCCAATCTATGGGGGACATGGATAGGAACCACCCTCCCCCCCTAGAAAACTTCTCCAGTTATTTTTCCTTAGACTTCCTAATGGCTCCCCTAAACCAGGCTGGCTCAGTCTCCTTAGTGGCCAGCTGGGGTGGGATCTGCAGGTGGTTTGCACCTTGCCTGGGCTTTCCCAGGTGTTCCAAGGAGGCCACAGAATAGCATGTGCTGAATGATGTGGTGGGAACTTCTGTGCAGATTCACATCTCGCCATGATCCCGCTGCTCTCTGCAGCTCTCTGCCCACTCCTCTGCAGCTGAACACTGCAGGTTTCGGGCTGAGGATGCTGTGGAGCTGCTGAGTCCTGTTTCTCGATGAAACTCCAGGGCCAAATGTGCTCTCAGAGAGCTCTCAGTGTGAAGGTTTCCAGACAGGACCACATGCCGGCGGTTTGACTTTCCTTGTGACAATTTGGGCTCAAGTTTTTGCCTTGGTAACAGGGGCAGGGCTCAGGCTTGGAGTGAACCAGCTAGAGGCAGCCCCACGGTGTGGTTTCTGGCACAAGGTCTGATCTGCAGTGGCAGAATATCTACCACCAGCAACTGTGCAAGCCTGGGCCAACATCTCAATGGCAAAAGAGGTGGTGAAGCCTCTGGTTTGCTCTACTGAGTTCGGGCTCGTGCCTTGGTTGGATACGGCTTTTTGAGCCATTGGTAGCTGTGTTTGGGAGTTACTTGCACCATGTGAGCCCAAAGCATGATGCCTTTCTAGGATTTGCAATCCAGTCAAATGAGAGGCTCTCAGAAAGCGAGTTTCATCTGAAATCCGTGTCGACAGTTAGGCAAATTTTGAGAACAGCTTTACAAATGGCGAGTATTGGTCATAAGAAGTATCACTGTTTTCACATTACACAAAGCCTTCCTTGTTCATCTGCAGAGCTTCAGTTTTGCTTCAGTGAGAGGAAAGTGAGGCTGTTAATTACATGTTCCTGTAAAGAAATGCTGTTGCAGGAGACTCAGAAAAGGGACCCAAGCCCTCACTGTAGCCTGTTTCTGGCTGTTATGCAGGACCACTGTGCTGGGACTCCAATGGAATGAGCCCTTCTGCTGCACTGCCTTCAGAGCTGCACAAACCCCGTCCTTCCTCGCAGCCTCACCCTGCAGCTTCCAGAGCCAGTCATGCGACCCATGTGAGTAACATGCAACGATATTCTTGCTTGTGCTTTTCCCTTGGTGAATCATTTGAGATCTTCAGATTTCTGCCCATTTTCAGGTTGATTTTGGGGGGTCAATCTGCGTGTACTTTCTCAGCAGATAGATCGGACAGGTGGTTTTCTTCATGTTGGTGCACAAACCCTGAAAGCCATCAAGACCCAGGGCTGGTGCTACTTACTGTAGGTGGGAAAGTTAAAAGGCGCCTTGCTCCTTCCCTTTTCTTGCTGCAAAGCGAGCATTTCTACATGCATCAGTGCACAGTGCCCATAGGACCATTGCTGCTCTTTGTCCTCTACCAAGAGGACAAACTCTGACCACAGTTGGCTTGCATCATACGAGCTCAGAGTGTTGGCTGCTGCTGTTCCCACTGCCTGACTCAGCGCCGGAAACTTTTCAGCTCAACGTGACTGCAACTCATCTGCAGACAAACACCTGAACGTGTGAGTGAGGAGCAGGAAGGGAGAGGCAGGGACAGGCGAGTTCTGTGCCTGCTGCAAGCAGCTTACAAGTCAAGCTCGGAGAAGTCTGATAGCAAATTTGTGTTGGCTCGACTTCTAAATTAATTTTCAGTATGATTCGTAGCCTTGAAGTCAGAATGCTCTTGAGGACACTGGGGAATAGGGTCACCTGCGTGCAGAGGTTCTGAGGGCTTTCATCCTCTGTGTCTGATGTTGGGTGTGAGCAGTATGGGGCGCTCAGCAGGAACACTGAGAAATGATTTCAGACTCAAAGAGGGGAGATTTAGAGCGGATGTAAGGAAGGTTTGGCAGTGAGGGCGGTGAGGCGCTGGCACAGGTTGCCCAGAGAGGCGGTGGTGCCCCGTCCCTGCAGACAGCCAAGGTCAGGCTGGACGGGGCTGTGAGCACTGCTGAGCTGTGGGTGTCCCTGTGCACTGCACCTTTGAGGCTCCCTTCCAACTCAAACCATTCTACGATTTCTGAATGTGAAAAAATACAGGCAGCAACCGTGGGGTGGAGGTGGAATGTCCCAGGTTCAGATCCTCAGCTTGTGTGAGAGGTCATGAGGGTGACGGTGCTTTACACTGCCCAAGGGCTTAATGCTGCTGCCAACTGTGTATGGAGGATGCCTCATTTGTTCCTTATTAAAACTGAGGTATGAATCAGAGCTCGTTTCAGAGGGCCAAGTGGGAGGTGTGGGGCTCACGTAGACAAATAAAAATATTACGGAACTTCTTCAAGTGGAGCTCATTGTACTATAGCTGCTTTACTGTTATTTATAGCACTATAAAAAATGGGTGATGTTCATAGGATCATTTGAGTTGGAAGGGACCCTCGAATATCACTTAGTCCAACTCCCTGGCAATGAACAGAGACACAGCAGCTCCAGGGGTGCTCAGAGGCTGTTGGAAGGATGCACTTACAGAGGGGGGGTGACATTGTGCATGGCAGTGCAGCACTCCCAAGGAAAACCAACCAAACGTATGAGTACTGACAGCAGGCTTCTGCAAAATAAGTGCATCTTTGTGTTTGTTTCTCTGGATCCGTGACACACGGAGATGTTGGAGCAGGCTGTAATTGGTAATGTTGTTGTAATTGGTAATGTTGGTAATGCTGACTGGGATCAGGACATCAGAAATCACGTCTGTCTTTTCTTTTAAGTCTTCCCACTGTGGGGCATAGAGTAAATTCTGGCATTTCCCAGAGAGTTTTGATGAGATTTAACACAGAATTCACCCCAGGTCTCTCTGGCCCTGCTTGGGTTGTTTGTGATCTCCCTCCTGCTGTGACTCACGCCGTCCTGGTAACCCTCAGAGTTTCTGCTGAAAATGGGAAACTTTCTTTTATTTTTCATTTTTGACTTTTTTGGGGGCTCACTGACTGAAGTCACCCTTTGCATTCCAAACACAGGTTTTGAGGATTTGCAGGTGTTCTTTGCAGGAGCTCCCAGAGGTAGAGGTGCTCCCAGGCTGGGTGATACAACTTACACCAGTTTACTGGGATGGATCCTGACCTCGTGCTCTGTGCACTTCTGTCCTGGATTGCCTTTCTGTATTCTCACATCCAATGTCATGCAATAGAACAAAGATGTGAGATAGAGAATTTGCAGTCTGAAATACCTACCCTGGTTCAAGCAGACGTTATTGCCTCCAATGAGACTCAGCTTCTCAATCTCTGTTCCCTCTCCTGATGGATGATGGAGGAAATTTCAGAAGGAACCTTGGCTTAAGTGTGGTTGTCTTTTAAACTCATTCAGAGCTATGAGATAGAGATCCTCTTATTAAGTTCATTATTGCATCCTCAAAGATAAATGTTTGTGCTTGCAGACCACAGAGCTTTCTGAAATACCAGACTGCTGTTTGTGTATTCATACTTCTGACTTTGTATGGCAGGATTAAAGCACTAATATTGACACATGTTAAAATATATATATATAAAAGGGTATCTGTCGACAGCATTAATCCTCTTTTTGGAAGAAAATTATTTATGAGCTCAACTGCTGTCTTGGGAATGAGACAATAATAAGGAGATAAGGGGAAGGAGTGCCTAATTCATAACCTGCAAGGTAAAGCTCGGGATCAGATTGTCAAACACAACTTACTCTTATGGAGGCATCCCCAGCAGCATCCCCATCCCCGCAGGCACTCGAGGCCAGGTGGGATGGGGCTCTGGGCAGCCTGAGCTGGGGGGGGGGGCAGCCGTGTCCACGGCCAGGAGATGTAAGTCTCCTCCAACCAAAGCCATTCTGTGATGATTCTATGACTCTATTTTGTTTGTACTCCCAGAACTGTGGCAGAACTGTGTTGTCTTTGAACCTTTTGGTCTGTGGACACGACTCAATGCGTAGCCACCAGGAAGAAGAGAAATCTCACCCAGACTTGGGGCAGAGATGCTCCATGCTAGCAGGGGTCTCACTGGCTCCAAGACATTGAGCTTATTGCTTTGGTGGTGAACTGGTCAAGGCAGGACTGGGAGGCGTGGAAACGAACATCGTAAGTTTACTGACTGTGGGTATAAATGGAGATGGGCGATTGTCAGCCACCAAAGCACCGCCACTTGTTTCATCTGTGGATATCCGTGCCCTTTTTTGCAACTTCCTCATTTTAGATATTTATCACCAGACTTTATCTGGTTTCACGTTCGTAAAGTACCGATGCAAAGACCTTAGAAACAGCTGAATCCTGAGCAATTCCATGTCACCCTCGGCATTCCTAAGTACAACTACGGCATGGTTTAATGTGAGATGCTGCATCTGGGTGTCAGCACAGCACCACGCCGTGAGCCGCCTCTGCATGCCCTGGCAGCCTGCTGTGTACGAGCCTCAGGCAGCGCTTCTGCAGATGTAGGCAGGGTGTGTTCTCACATTTAAAAATAGAGGGCCATTGGTGGCAGAGACCTGCTGGAGGCCTTCACTGGCCGTGCTGCTTCCAAGCAGCTTTGTGCTGGCAGAAGTCTGATGTTTCCGGAAGAAAACTGCAGCAGAGCACAGTTATGGAGTCGCAGAACATCTCATGTTGGAAGAGACCTGTGAGGATCGCTGAGTCCATCTCCTGATTGTGATCGCTGTTTTCTCATGCACTGACTCAAGCCAAATGCCCTTAGCTTCTACCATTGCTTCCTGATATTGCTTCCTGCACCGTGAGCTTGAAGTAAATCTGAATGCCTGACCAAAGCAGTGATATTTGAAGACCATCGTTTGTGAGGTAGAGGTTTTGCATTGCTAGAAAAATAGCAGTTTCATTCTACACATTGAAGGGGTTTGTTTTTATTTTTGTAATGAAATCCTGTAATTGCATTATTTTGGGGAGAAATCCAATAGTTACTGTGCCAGAGATAGGAGAGTCCAGGTATTCCTCCAGCACTGGTGCAAATGGAATGGCACTGAAGGAGGTTCCAGCGTCGTCCCTCCACTCATCCAGCAGCACAGGGCTGTGAGCTGGGCCCTCCCCTGTCCGTCTGCGTGGTGTTAGCTCACAACATGCCTGCTATTACTAAGCACTTTGACAGCAGAGAGGATATGGCAGCGTGCAGCTGGTAGTAAGAATATATGCAGATATGCAAAGCGTGGCAGAGCAATGCTGAGGAGGTGGGGGCCTATTGCTGAGAGCAGCAGCGTGGAGCTGTGTGGTCTCCTTTGTGTCACTGCTTGGTTTGGAGGTTGTTTCTTTGTGGGGTTTCTTGGGCAGAGCTCTTGTGTTCAAGAAACGTTCAGATGTGGCACTAACAGACATGGGTTGGGGGGTCATATTGGTGGTAGGTGGATGGTTGGGCTGGTTGGTCTTGGTGGTCTTTTCCAGCTTGGTGATTCTATGATTCTGTGATCTCTGTTCTGTCAGTCCATTGGGTTTTTTTCTGTTTGCTTGTTGGTTTTGTTTCATGAAACACGTACCAGTGTTACACTGCAAAATGGTTTGCAGTATGAACCCTCTCCCAAGACACATTGGGCATATTGGGAGGGGTGAAATCCCTTTGATATACTCATGGCCAAAAACAAAGACCAGATCCCGTCTTGTTCTTTTAATGGGGATGCCAAGTCGTGAAAGAGGACCTATTCATGCAGTGGTGTGAATAGGTCAGATACAACAGTGTTGTTAAGATTAATGTTCAGAACGTACCTGAACTCCTACGGCAGTCTATCAGCCTTCCTTCATCTCTCTGCAAGGCTCTTTGGAAGGGCCAGCTCTTCCTTTGTAGGAAATGCTGTATTTTGATAAAAACAAAACAGAAAAAGGAGAGGTTTCTTTTTTAAATGAAGGACGTCCTCGTTTAATGAGGCTTGAAGTGTTTACAGGTGTTTCCTCACCCGTTCAAATTTAGCGGCCCCAGGGAGTTGAGATTCTCATAAGGCAGGGGCGAACGCTCCAGTTTTGTGTTTAAAAGCTGTGAGCATTTAAAGGGCCCCACAGACACGGAGCGTGTGTTGGTTTGGTCTGGTTGAGTGCCTGGAGCCCAGGATTGCAACAGGGCGGTCACTGGACATGAGCTGAGGTCATCCACAGTGCCACAGATGGTCAACG